AGGTAGCCTCATTAGGATCTTGCAAGGATCTCTAGTTTTTGGATGGATTCTATACCCAGACCTAGGGCCTCATTCCCACTACGTTATAAATCGGTTTGCTAACTGATTAGAAGTGGTTTAAATGACCCTTGTTCGCACTTGAACCAAATTGCTGAAGAGGTTTGGCAAGGGGGGCTCTGCACTAGATCCATTTAATGTGTGTCTTTTTGACACCCATTTTGTCTGCCTCTTTTGCAATAAATTGATTCACTGCAAGTGTGAACGAGGTGCGTATCGGAATCGATTTCCTAAGACGTGATCAGCGATCAGCAACCCACTGAAGAGGTCCATTTTGAATCGATTCATTAGTCAATGTGAACGACAAGTGGGTTATCTTACAACAAAATGCGACTGGGGCAAATGTAGTGTGAACTACGTTCCGCTGTTGAACCAATCCATCAGTTCAGATCGCAAACTGATTTATTTTCAAATGCGAATGAGGTTAAAGGAGACCGATAGGCTCAGCAGGGTTTGCAAAGGGAAAATGTAGGCTGGCTGGCTGGCTTGGAAATAAATGTTTGGAATGATGGCAAGTAGTCTTAGCCTCATCTGGAGCTTGCCTGGATCTCTGGGTTCTGGATAGATTGAATTCATAGGCAGGGATCCTATGGCTAAAGGAGACCCATAGATTCCACAGAGCTTGCAGTGGGCAAACATGCATGCAAGGTGGCTGGCATGCTTGGAAACAGATGTTTGGAATGATGACAGGTAGCCTCATTGGGATCTTGCATGGACCCCTGGTTTCTGGATTGACTGAATTCATAGGTTGCAATCCTATGGCTAAAAGACCCATAGACTCAGGGAAAAATGCATTCAAGGTGGCTGGCTATCTTGCTTGGAAATAAATAAAAGTGTTTGGAATGATGGCAGGGAGCCTCATCAGGTTCTTGCATGGATCCCTGGTTTCCGGACTGATTAAATTCATAGGCTGGGGTCCTATGGCTAAAGGAGACCCATTAACTCAGCAGGATTTGCAAAGGAGAAAAATGCTTGCAAAGTGGCTGGCTGGCTTGCTTGGAAATAGGTATTTGGAATGATGGCAGGGAACCTCATTAGGATCTTGCATGGATCCCTGGTTTCTGGATGGATTGAATTCACAGACTGGGATCCTATGGCTAAAGGAGACCCATTGACTGAACAGGATTTGCAAAGGGCAGACAGACACAGGATGGCTGGCTTGGAAAGATCTTTTTAACATCCTTACAACTAGTAGTATCATCATCACATCCCCCCAGCCTCTCTTGATGAATCTGCCCTCATCACACTTTTTCACCTGCTTTTATAATTTTGTTTGCTCTCTTCAGCCTTTCTCCATTGCTTCCTTCAGTTGCTGTAAACAGGATTCAAAATCCAAGAATGCTTTGCATGCAGTTAACTCCTGGGGGGATGAAGGGAGAGTTTTCCTGGTTTGTGTGGTCATCCTTCTTAAATAACTTCTGTTACCTAACTTTGACCGCTCTCTGATGTTGCCTGGACACAAACATCCCATTTTTCGACTGTAAAATGTTGGAGGGTATGTCATCATCGTGCATTGATGTTTGAATTGGTTGAATTCATAGGCCTGAATCCTGTTGCTACTTTCCACCCATTGACTCAGCAGGATTTGCGGAGTGGCAAAGCACATACATACACAGGATGCTTTAAATCAGGGGTAGGCAACCTAAGGCCCGGGGGCCGGATGCGGCCACCCGAGGCCTTTGGACCGGCCCCAGGCTGGTCCTGCCGCCGCTGCCACCCACCATGATGATATTGATTGTTGTTGTTATTACTTGTTCTTGGGGTTTTCTTGGCAAAATCTCCACAGGGGTTTTGCCATGGCTTTTCTAGGGCCAAGAGAGTGTGCATGCATATTTTTTAATTTTTATTTATTTATTTATTTATTTATTTATTTATTTATTTATTTATTTTTGTGCTTCGGCCCCCCAATTGTCTGAGGGACAGCAACCCGGCCCCCGGCTCAAAAAGGTTGCCTACCCCTGCTTTAAATGGAAAGAAACTGTTTGAAGGAGAATTACTACATTCACAGCAGAAAGCAGGACATACATCGTCATCATCATTGTCGTCGTCGTCATCATCATCATCATCATCATCATCATCATCATCATATTGATTCATGTCCCACCCACCCACCCACCCCAAAAAATTAGGACACAAAATGGCTTACCAAAAAACAATATAATTCAAAACATACAAAGTTGAGCATAAAATAGAATTATCTGATACAGTAGAATGCAATGATAGTGGTCCCTCCACATTTGGGGGGGCTAGGGGTGAAGGACCCCGGTGAATGTGGAAAAACTGCAAATGAAATAACACACTACGTATTCTTTTTACCTAAAAGAACAAATCTC